AGGGAATCTGTGCTGCAGCAGGGTGGTCAGTACACCAGTAGATTTCCCAATCTATCCTTAGCCTCAAACATGACATAAACAAGCTTTATGTTAGATAAGCACTGCATACCTTTTAAAGAACAGATCTTATTTACAGACTACTGCTATTCTATTCCTGTGACCTTCAATCCTAGGCTGAAGCTACACCAAGTACCTGGCTGGCACCATCTGGGCAAACACTAGCCCAGATGCCTCATCCAGCCAGGTCTCAGTGATACATGCAAAGTTAGCAGCCTCATCCAAAGGTGAGGTCAATGATGACTGATATCTTATTCATAACCAACCTTGCACTAAATAGCAACAGAGACAGATCAAGGTCTCCACCGGCTGTGATCCCTACAGAGACAGAAGCAGAAGGAAAGAAAAAGAGGCACCACATGCTTTCATCTGTGCCTCTGAATAATTTTTTTCTTCCTTTATCATATCTCCGCTGCCCAACACAACTTTGATGGTCACAGCAAACTGTCATGCCATCTAAATACTATCAAATATGTAAGCAGTACAAAAAAACCATTATAGAAACAGATTCTTTTTGTATGAGAAAATTATAGTTCTGTCACAACATTTGTAATTTGTATCTTTTCTTGTGTATGCTGCATATGTTTTTCCCCATTTGTGTCACTAGTTACAGTATTAAATACTGTTCAATATGGTACTTATTAGTACTCCTTACTGTGAATGGGTCTCAGGGAACTGGGGTTTGGTAGTCTGACCCAAATGGTTAGGACCAAAATCTATAACCAGGATATTTGGTGAGAGTCAGAAGCCAAAGTCAGGAACCAGGTAACAAACCAAAAGTCTGGAGAAGGGTTTAAAGCAACAGTTGCAAACTTAAACTAGTTATGGAACAACTTGAGATATGCTCTAAATACCAAGCTAGGTTTCACACGAGTCAGTCTCACGGGGGACCCAATCTGTGCTTATCATATCCCAACTAAGAGATCCTGTTGTCTAGCATTTGCTCTTAAGACTCACCTGGGAGAGGCTGGAGGTCCCCTCTGTACACCTGAATTTGGTATCAGCGGATGGAGAACCTGTGGCATATAATCATAACAAGTCGGTTGTATTTCTGATGTTTTCCCAGTGCATTGACTTGCCCAGAGTTGGTATTCTTGAATGTGTATGTCAGGAGCTGAAAAGTTAGCTCTGTGACATTCTTCTGTCTCCAGTGAGTCCCGTGAGAATCACTCCTAATCACTCCTAAGCACTGGCCCCACTTCTAATCACTCTTATCCACTGGCCCTCTGCTCTTTGTCATTAGGGCCCTACCTTGAGAGCCACCTAGGTCATCACCGAGAAACTGCCTCATCAAGCTCTGTCAGATCCAGCCTACCCACCTCCAAAATATACAGGCAAAGAACTAGAAGGCATGGAATATACAGGCAAGGAACTCAGACTTTGTCCTGATGCTCACCAGTGACAAACTGGCAGCTCCTGCATGAAGCTGTGAACAGAGGTATGTTTATAGCCTGGTTCCAAGAGCCCTCCAACACTTGCTCCTTTCTTCGTAAGAAGGAGACTCTGGAACACTTTAAGGTAGGTTGTACCAGGCTGGAGCCCATGAATTATTTCTACCTAATTTCATTTTGGGGAGAAATACATGTTCATCATGTTAAGCTTGGCTACGTTTCTACCTTCACATTTTAATTCACTCACACCACATCAATGGCCTCATCCAATTATGAGAGCTTGTCAACCTTCTCCTGTTCTGGCTCCAATCTTGGAGCTGGCCCCGGCAGCAGGCAGCTGCCCAGGGCAGGGCACAATGTCCCGGCTGCAGCTCCGATCTTGAGATTGGAGCCAGGGCTGGCAGCTGCCTGTTGCAGGAGCAGAAATATTGTCCCAGCCTTAGCTTCAAGATCAGAGCTGGTCCCGGCAGCAGGCCACTGCACAGGGCAGGAAACATTGTCCCAGACCCCTCTCTGATCAGCTGATCAGAGCAGGGGCTGGGAATCAGGCAGCTGCCTGGGGGAGGGGACAGTTCTCCTGTCCCCTGCTGCCTGAACCAACCAGGAGCAATTTACCAGTCAGCTATGTAACAGTGCCATAATTAATCAGCTAATGCACAGTAAATCTACTACCTGTATTTACAGGTAGTATAAAACTGTGTGTTCACCTATTTTAATGTACAGCAGCTGATGTCCACAGTTACAGAGCAACATTTTACTGTGCAGTAGATTAGTCTACAGGGCAGTAAAGTGTCTTATGTAGACACACTCAGCAGGTTCTGCCAGCAAGATGACACTGAGGGAACTGAGACTGATACACAGCTGCTCTGTTCTTTATGAACGGGTACAAGTATATGAGGTACCACAGGACACATGTGCATCATGACAGACACTGTTATTCAAAAACACCTCTAGTATCATGGACCTGAGGCGTCCGTGCATATACTACAGAATTCAACTACAACATCCCAAAGAAGAACTCTGACTTCCTGGATTGTTTTTGAGATACAGAAGTAACTCTCCTCTGCTGCCAAAGACAGTTTTTTCTTTTTCCACTATGAAGATACATAAGATGTGTGCCCACTTTAAAAACTGTCACCGTCTATAACAGGCTTGGGTGAGCTCCCCCCCTGGAGTCTGGTGTCTCTAGTGGCCTGACTAGCCAGTTGGTGTTCCCTCACTTCCTCTGCCTCCTATTTCTCACTTGCCTTGGCTTGCTGTTAACTATAAAAAAGGGAGGCCTGCCTACGGAAGCTGGGGTGGCCTACTCCTTGGTGCCTGTTATCTCTTTTTGCCTCACTCCATGGGTCTACTCCCTCTTTAAGGGGGCTAGCATTGTGACCTCCAGCCACCCCCATAGTCATGTTCATGCTTTGCAGATATCAATCAGTGTCTTGGCAGGGGGCCCCTGGCTCTGACTTTGCACTTGGCCCCCCAAGGATCAAACTTCTATTGGGGCTTCCACCTTCCTGACTTCATCCCTTTCTTCTAGCTGGGCCCCCCTACCCATGACCACTGGCCTGGACCTCAGCTTTTGGGCTCCAGGTGTCTCATCCTTTTGAGCTCTGGGCCCCTGGCCTACACGTGGCAGCCCTTAAGGCCCCAATCCTCACTACGCAGCTTGCATGTTTCTCTGCCCATGGGGTCCCTGACCCTTGCTAGGCAGCTTGCATGCTGCTCTGTCCCACCTGGAGTCCCTGATTAGACCTCTCTAAGACCTAGATTAGACCACCCTCATTAGACAGCTCTATACTGGGTGCCTCTCAGGCACTCCTGTGGCCTCCAAACCACCCCCGTAGCCACAACCCAATCCGTTGGACTTAAACTTAAGCATAACAGTACATGAACTATAAGCAAACAGAAATGTAAACAAACTGCTTCCACAACAGCTCTCCCCGACTCCGGGTCAGTACTCTACCACTAGCTATTTTTCTTAGCTGTCTCTTGCTTTTGCTTTTGTGGGTAGCTTTGGTGTCCATGGGCCCATTTCCTGCACGCAGTTTCCCTGGAAGCTCCACTTCCCCCAGCATGCAGGGCCAGATCGCCCCTTCTGCCTGAGGGCCTATGCTTATATGGCTCAAAGCCCCACCCACTTCCCATCATGTAACTCCCCAGCCATACACAGGAAGTTCCCCTTTAATGAAGGGCCAGCTTGTAGTCCTCTGCTGCAACTCCACACAGCCACCTTAACAGGGGCTCCTGTTACTTTAAAAGAGTGCAGCAGGGTAAGCTGGCTGTGTCGAGCTGCAGCAGAGGAGCACAGGCTGGGGCTCCTGTTACTTTACAGCCTAGTAAATACAACCCTGGGTAGGGAGTTTTTTTGTGTGTAGCAGCACACGTGTAGACACTGCCCCTGGCTGGCTGCACATGGAGCATGCTGACCCCCCCAAAACCCCTGCCAGCCCAGGCGGCTCCAACTGAGCTCCACGTGTTGCACATGAACAAACTCTGAAGCAATATACTCCAGAGTTTTTTGCTTCTAGGGACACATTCAAACAGTGCTCCCAGGAGCAAAAAACTCCAGAGCAATAAGCTCCAGAGTTTATTTGTGTGCATTAATCGCATGTGTAGATGTGCCCAGAGACAAAACCCCCCCCCACATTCATGATCAGATTATCCCCAGCTGCTCCACAAGTAAACAAGATTTGGAGGAGAGAGATAAGAAACTGTCCTGATATTAACTCCATGGTGCAACAGTAGACTACAATAATAGTCACTGCCTTTGTTGTGTTCATCCAAATACAGGCATAAATATGTGATCCATGCCATATGTGGCCATGCTAGCCAGCACTGAATATATTTGGAACATAAAGTAAAGCTATGCATTAATTGCCATCAGTAGATTCAACAAAACAAAATATTAGCTTATATTCTAATATGTGCATTCAATACTTTTACATTCCTCACAGTCTTCCCCATAAGAGGCTCACAAGAAGCACGGGAAAGTACTGAGAGGTAGGGCTACGGCTGGCCAGGAACTTTTCATCAGGATTTTGCTAAAAATCTGAATTTTCATGGGATAATCAAAAAAACAGAATTATCCAGGGAATACAAATCAGTGGTAGACTGCCTGCTTTGAATGTAGGAGGCCCAAGATTCAATCCCCAGCATCTCCAGAGGGGTTTAGAAATGATAAAATTAATAAACAATGTACGTTGAAATTAGAAATATTGTAAATTTGCCAGGCACGGCGATGTACATTCAGTAAAATTGCATCAAAATGGTGAGGACACTGTGAATTACAGAAAGTAAACTGGAAATCAAGCCTCACTTTTCTCTGTCTTGTCCCATTCAAAACTCACACATTGTACTAAATGTATTTTTAAAGTTGAAAAGATGTTAGCTTAGAGCTGACAAAATAGTTTTTTAATATTGATGAGTAGGCATGGGTAGATAAATTATACTAACATATTTACTAGTGACATAAAGATATAATGATTTCAACCCTATAATGATTTCAACAGTGAGCTACAGATCTATCAAATATTTCTTCACTTACTATTTTTTACCTACCTGATAGCTCTAATGACAGTTTTAAGTGCTGGGGTGAGATCTTCTACTGACACGTCACATTGACATCCTCTCTCATCATAAATATCATCTGTTCCAAGAGTGGTATCAGCTGCAAGAAGGAAAAGAAAGCTAAACAGCAAGTACTTTAAGACAAAACAAATGTACATTTCCATAGCTTTTTAACCATCAGAAAATGGCAAGGTTTTGGAATCGCCATCTAGAAAGAGTAGTAATTACTTTGGAGATGGAGTACTATCAGTTTCTGATAGGGATTATATGATGTGGTTGATTGTGATGGCAGGGGACTGGACTCAAGTGACAGAGAAGACCCTTCCAAACCTATTTCAACGTTATCTAGCCTGGGAAACAAAGGGCCCAGCTGTGTGGTTTTGTTTCCACCTTTACTTTGAGACCAAATGAAATAATAGAAATTACAGTGGAAAAAAGTCACTGCGCTTTATTAGATCATTCATCCCCTGTTCCTGTTAGCATATTTGAATGCATTCAAAGTCCAGGTCCATTTGCCATCACACTCTCCATTTTAAGGAGAGGCAATGGGTGATACTGGAAAAATTAGAAGACATCTAATAGATAGTCAGGTTGTATTATGATTATGATTACTATTTTATAGCCACATAAATACATAGCACATAACAGAAAAAGTTCCTGTTCCAAACAGCATATTCATTCAGTGTGAGGACAACTGAATGACCAAATGCCCCACTGCAGGTAAAAGTTCTGTTTAACCAAAGGAAGACATAGAATGGATTCCATGCCTGTTCAGCTGGCCTGCATAAATCTTCTTAGCTACTTATGTATTGCATGTTGCTCTCCAGAGATGAGAGATGAAGGCAATCTGCCATGCAGAAAAGCCTTTGTACCCACTATTTACGTAACCCTCTCCACTGTCCTTAACATGCTAGTTTAAGTTACAGCATTATTATTAATGTATTAATTACAATGTTCAAAAGTGTCTTACGTGCCTCAGCAAATATAAAGACAAGAATGCATGCCTGGAACAGCTCACAATCTGAAATAAGGACAAGGCACAGTGGAGAGGTATGCAGGACAGGAGTAAAACAAGGTCATACATTAAGTTAGGTAGAACATGCATATTTTGAAGGTAAGCAAAACACAGCAGGTTTGGTTTTAGAGTAGACTGTTTCCTCTTAAACACTTCACTTGTTGAATTTCACCCACTGGGGAGTGAATGTATTCAATATATGAGTATATCTGTTTGTCTTAGAAGGTGATTGGAGAAGAAGAGTGATGGATGAAATATCATTTTCTAGACATGAGCTCATCAGGGGCGTGAGCATCCCAAAAAACAAGAGGTGAAACATTGGGGATGGGTGGGAAGCAATTGGGGAAGAGATCCATGTGTCTAGGCCTGTCAGACAATCAAGCCCAAGTCTTCTATTATAGTTTTATGTTGCATAAAATCAGCAGATGAACAAAAAATGAAAAACATTTTTATTAGAAAATAGTGCATTGTAATTTGCTGATTTCTTTTAAATCTAGGAAGACAAATATTTTAAGAGACATAGTATTATTGCCAAGCTACCTGCATTGGTATAGTTATTGCTGGGTCAGTGTCTCCATTTTATTTCTTTCAAAGCTTTCATGCTTATCTTTAAAAACTGCCTTGCTGAAATCTGATAGATAAGCCTGTGTCCCTATAGCTAATTTTTGCTTCCAGTGTTAAAAAAAAATACTTGAGATATACTTTAAGACAGGAAGATTGTTGCTTTTTGTCTCAATTTTTTGGATGAGAAATGAAAATATCAAATTTGGGACACAATTTACTACCTAGGATGCTGACTTGCACTAAGCTTCTGCTTGGCACAGCTCAGAAAGGAGATGGTAAAGATGACTAAGTCACTTTTATGCCTTCTCTGATCCATGGGCTGCAACTGCCTCAGTACAACCTAAAGCAGGAATGGGCTGATAATTAATATTTTACAGATGAATTTTGAATAACAGAGACTATATTGCTTGATCCCCTGCTGCATATTACATATATTACACAATTTACTGATTAATCATGCAATACATTTAGACTGTCCACACATGCAAGGTAATTATCACATGATAAAAATGACTACCCAGCTATAAACAGGGCCAACTAGCTATAAAGTTAGGGCTTAAAAATGTGTGATAACTTTATAGCTGGCTTCTATCCGGCTTTAAGTTGAATTGTAGTAGTGCCCTTGGTCAAGATGACAAGTAAATAGGTGGCACAGTGGGGAGCTAAACTTGTGTCTGTTACTAGTGCCCTAACCTTTGGCACCTTTTGAATCATACTGAATTGGTACTTCCAGAAGAATCATCTTCTGTTAGCTATAAACAACAGGAGATGTTCTACAACATCTCTAATCATTCCTTCTTTTCCCTCCCATTCCCCCTTCCCCCCAATAAAAACATCTTTGAAAAAGTCTCAGTTTTATAACTGTCTCGGAAAAATCCCAAGTATATGCTGCCAACACAGAAGTTCTGTA